GGAGGAAGGAAGGAAGGAAGGAAGAGAGGGAGGGAGGATTCCCCAAAGACTATTTAACACAACATGCATAACCAGCCACTGAACCACGCATAGATTTGCAGGTAACTGACAATTTGTGCAGTCACATTTGCTGTTCTACATTCAACATACAGATACATGAACCTAAGAAACCTCCAACATGTCATCTGTGCTTCAGCAGATCTTCCTCTGCACACACCATTCCTGCAGTTGCAGCAAACCCATCTTGGCTTCCCCTTCCGCAGAGCTTCCATTAGCAACTTCCCTCTCCATGTTTAAGATGCTTTTTCTCATCCAGACATGAACCTAAAGCAATTTAAATATGTAATTATCAACGTATAGATGGGTAGATTCATACCACGATACCATGTTTTGGTGAAGATATTGATGTGTTCCTCTAAGTGGGATTTCCATGTGAAATACTGTGTGTTTAAATGATGTTTTGCCTTGGTCATCATTTTGTTTTCCTGGGTTGATCACTGGGCAACTCAGCATCCTATCAAACAGAACTTCTCATGAATACTTGTCACATACATGGCCTGTTGACTGTATCTGGGGTGTGTTTTCTTATTCCTGGCAGACACTGGAAGAGCTGGAATGCCACGGGCCTGTGATGTCTGAGCAAACCCGAGCAGAACTGGAGCAGAAAATAGATGAAGCCAGAGAGAGTATTCGCAAAGCTGAGGTGAGAAGGAAATGATTTATGTTCCATGACTGAAGAGTTTATGTTACAGCTCTTTGGTTTTGTTTAGAATCATAGAACCCCAGAGTGGTTTGGGTTGGAAGGGACCTTAAAGCTCATCCAGCTCCAACCCCTGCCCCGGGCAGGGACACCTTCCACTAGAGCAGGTTGCTCCAAGCCCCTGTGTCCAACCTGGCCTTGAACACTGCCAGGGATGGGGCAGCCTTGAGCAAAGGAAACTTCCTTGTGTTTATGGAAATGTAAGCTTTTAGCATCAAAAATCAGGGAATTTTAAGACGGGTTTTTTTTCCCCTTGATTTTGTACTTCTCAAATCACTGGATCAACTCCATGAAAGACTTGGGAGTAGAAGAGTAATGTTAGAAAACCTCCTGATGAGCAGTGACTAAAGTTGCTGGTTTGTGCTCTTGTGTAAAGGTCAGGAATCTCGGAATTTCGGGGCTTTGTCTCAAATAGAGAAAAAACAATCTCAAGTTTATTGGTTTCCTTCTGCTTCAGGGAATTGACACTAGAAAACAGTGCTGGTATCTCTTACCTTGATGCTTTTTGGCTTCTAGAAGCAACTGCCACACGCCGCTGTGCCTTTTCTACTACTATTTTTTGATATACATATTTATTTGTAATGTCAGTGGGAAAACATGTGAAATAACCTTTAAATCTCTTTCTACTTCTACTACAAGGTACTTTTCAAAAGGCTACAGTGATTTATGAGGCCTGTTTTGGGTTAAGAAAGACTCATAAAGAGATAAACCAGCTTCATACTTGACTGCTGGTGGTGGGTTGCTGAAAATGAACTGGTTTCATGGCCACTGAGTCAAAAAACCTATTGCAAGCAACAGGGACTGAGCTGTTAGTTTTCAGCTGAGTTGCTTAATTAAAACTGTAGAGCAAATATAATTGTTTCAGTTAAGTGCTTCTCATACCGCCAGATATGCAGAGTACCTGATGCAATTAGGAATGTGATTTACAGTTCAAGAGGTTAGAAAATAGAGAGTGAAATTATTCCTCCTACTGCTGTGATAAATGTTAGGTGTTCTTAGACAAATCCACAATATATTCTCTTATAAAAGTGTTTTAAAATGCAGTAGCCTTTCATTTTGAGTAAACTATTTCAAACAGACTATACTCCAGTGTATATAGAGTTAATGATTAAATATGTAAGGACAGAAAGAATGAGACTGAAAGATAAAAGCAGCAGCAAAAAGAAATCAAATCAGGATAAGAAGTTGCAGAGGAGAAGGTTTGCACAAAGAATATTCTAAGAGTAACAAATGAAATCAGTCTGGACCTTAAGTGATTGCAAGTCTTAGGAATGTATAATTAATAGAACCTGATAAATCAGTGGGAAGTGAGCAAAGAGATGACATGTTTCCTGAGGGAGGTGGTAGAGAGGAGAATAGACAGGGTGGTTTTTATTTGTTACATTCTGGAAAGAAGCATAGAATCAACTAGATTGGAAAAGACCATTAAGATCAAATCCATCATCAAAGGTTGAACTTTGAAAGTAAGTGCTGCATCCCAAGGAGGATGTCCACAGTAGAAATTAGGCTGTGTTCCGATATGGATTGTAGAATCATGGAATGGTTTGGGTTGGAAGGGACCTTAAAGCTCCTCCAGCTCCAACCCCTGCCCAGGGCAGGGACATCTTCCACTAGAGCAGGTTGATCCAAGCCCCCGTGTCCAACCTGGCCTTGAACACTGCCAGGGATGGGGCAGCCTTGAGCAAAGGAAACTTCCTTGTGTTTATGGAAATGTAAGCTTTTAGCATCAACCTCATCTCAACCCCCCCTCGGGCAGGTTCAAGCCATTCCCCTTGGCCTGTCCCTCCATCCCTTGTCCAAAGCCCCTCTCCAGGTTTCCTGGAGCCCCTTTAGGCCCTGGAGCTGCTCTAAGGTGTCCCCTTGAGGAGCCTTCTCTTCTCCAGCTGCCCCAGCCCAGCTCTCTCAGCCTGGCTCCAGAGCAGAGCTGCTCCAGCCCTCGCAGCAGCTCCGGGGCCTCCTCTGTAGGGGTTTAAACCACTTTGTGACATTAATACATTACCACGTAAGTTATAATATAGAATTTATTGTTTGTAGGAGTAGCCAGTAAGTGAATTCATTAAGCTTTTTTCTTGGGGTAGTCATTTCTCTCAGCTTCAACCCTTCTTTGTCTCTACTCCTCTAAGTGGCCCAATTCAGTAATTTCAAGACCATTAATTAGACACGAGTTTTTTACACACATATAATCTCTAGAAGAATAAACTATGTAAGCTTTGAGCACAAACATTTTCTTTGGTAATGCAATTATAATTCTTTCCAGCGTGTGAACACCAAACATTTGCTGCATTCCTG